TTAAAGGGAGTGACCGGCTATGTAAGGTAGTTGAACTGAGTATGCAGTGGTGTGGAAAACTTCTTTCGGATTCATTTGAGACATATTAAACTTTTTAAAGATCTGTAAATCCTGAGTTTGAGCGCAAATTCGACGTTCAAAACTCCTTCTTTGGGGGTGGATACGTTTTCAGAATTAGTTTTTTTAAATAACCTCATAGATTTCAATATATTGGGATCATTCATTTGGCGGTCAGTCCCGGCCATATTGTCACATATTGTCTTTATTTGTACTGTACATGCTTGCCCTGGCTGGTTGAAATTCGGCCCGGTACATGAAATTAACTGGATTGTATATTTGTACAGTACTGTACTGCTTGCCCAGGCTGGTTGAAATTCGGCCCGGTACATGAAATGAACTGGATTGTATCGTGATACTAATGTTGAAATTTGTTTATGGCACTGTTAAATTCAAAACCAGTAAAGGAATCTCTATAGTTTTTATTTTTGAAAAGTTGCATTTCAGATTCACATTGGTTCCCTTTTATCGGGGCTGGTAGCTAACTACAGTGGTAAGTGATGATATCAACATAATGAAGACGACTTCTGAAATGATTTTTGATTTATACCAAGCTTTTATACAGCATGGATACACAAAAATGTGGCAACAAAGAGAAGCTGTCAACTTAAAAAGCTTCTCTTTGACTACAATTGTAACTTTGTAATTCGAAAAAGCTTGTTAACAATTAAAACAAATAAAACAGCCGTCTTTATCATATTGATATTATCGCTTACCAACGTATCTGCCCCGCTATTAGGCTTAATTGTACAATTAAGACGATTTACTGATAAAATATGTAAGGCGATTATGGCCTAAGCATATATGTACATTGTACAACCATCAAATATGTATACAGTGCACTTCCGCAGTAAATAAGTGGAGTAGGCGGCCTGTGTTTGTACAAACAGTAAAGGATTAGCGCACATCATCACTCTATACAATAGATCGTTGAGCGTACATCATCACTCTGTATACTATAAACTCGCTGTTTATCGTCTTAACTAAATGGCTAAAATACTTTTGTTTTTTCTATATAAGTATTGATCATTATTAATTGTAAACGGATGCAACAGAAACAAAAAAGAACATCTGAAGAGTTCAACACGACGATATCTTCCTTTTGTGTTTAAATAAAAATGAAAATGGTAGTGTTGCGAATCTATTAGATTTAAAGCCAAGAAAGAGTCACCAACTTCTGTTCTAATATAAAGCTTGCTCAGATTTCAACATATATACTTACACACATATAGAAGAATAGAGCAAACAACCTTTATTACTATTATTATACTTCGCTTAAATAAATGATATTGCACTTGTATTGTATTGTGTGTTTACATTACATCATTAAATAAATCAAATTAGATATTTTAGTATTTTTTGTCCTTCTATCCTTGTTAGATTGATATGACAAAAAATACATTGGGATTCATTGATAACCACTGGGCAACCCCCTAGAAATTTGTACTTTCGATACCAACTTGTTCTATATTTTTCGTTTTCTTATTTATTTTGTGAAAAAAACTCCATAATTTAAAAATTTTCGAATCTCAGACCAAAAGGCAATTGAATATAAATAGAAGAAACTGAACAGAACTAAACAGAACTAACAGAACTGAACAGAACTAAACAGAACTGAACAGAACTGAACAGAACTGAACAGAACTGAACAGAACTGAACAGAACTGAACTGAACAGAACTGAACAGAACTAAACAGAACTAAACAGAACTGAACAGAACTGAACAGAAGAGAACAGAACTGAACAGAACTGAACAGATTTGAACAGAACTTAACAGAACTGAACAGAACTGAACAGAACTGATCAGAACTGAACAGAACTAAACAGAACTGAACAGAACTGAACAGAACTGAACAAAGCATAACAAATTTCGATGTTGAAACTATAATTATTTGAAGAATGATATATCTGCACCTGAGTGAAGAGTGAATTAGTTCTGCGTCTTTTTTCTGAAATCAGTTAGATGTGAAGCTAGGTTATTTAATATCTATTACACAATATGAACAGCTGATAGATTTCACTAATGTCGAGAATAGAAATCATATGAATATTCACAATTCACAATTTTATTTTTCTAACCAGTCACATTAAATACGAGTTTAAAGTAACTTACTTTATGCTTATTTTTAACCCCCTGTGCACAAGAAAAGATTGGCCCCTTTTTCGTTAAATTAGAGGATTTTTGAAATTTTTAAAAATGATTTTTGAAACAGTTTTACTTTGACCAGCTAGCCATCAGCCCTGCCCGAGACCCAAAACCAGAAGACACGGTATTAAATCTTGCTGAAATTAGTTCCATAAATTGTCTGACGAAAAAATTTATCAAATTTTTTTGTGATGTTAATTCAACAAGGACCGAATTTAATGAATTTGAACTTCCTACTGCCGGTTGGTTCTCTTTTAAATCACCGATTCAAATCCTTCCGTAATCTTTAACTTTGAATCGATGGTTCAACTTGCATTATTTGTGATTCAACTTGAATTATTTGTGATTCAATACGTATTTTCATAAATTTAATTTTTTTCTTGACGTAAATTAACAAAAAAAACTTAGTTTACCAAATAGATCACAAAAGAATGCATTAACAAATTACTTCTAGATTGAATTAACAGATGTATAATTGTCCCTTCGTTCAATGATGGCAATGCCCGATTCCCAATGGTACCCCTATAAGCATTGTCTAATCAAGTATGAGTAAGACATCAATATGTATAATTTTGAAAACTAATTATATTCAATTGTGGTTTCTCTCCAAAAGGGATTTGCACGTTCCTCCTGCAGGAAAACAATAAGAAATTATCAGAATTAAGCAGTTTTAAGTCTAGAAAAATGAACCATGCCACATTACCGATCAGATAAAGTTTTAGGGGGTACCGTTGTGAATCAGGCATGGCCATACTTGCATTGAGAGTCACTTGAAAATTACGCTTACAGTTTCTTTAATGGAGTTCACTGTACTGTTATATAATCCCATCTAGAGAATTAGACTGCTAGGAGTAGAGTACTAATTGTGAGGGAAAGTGAAACATCTGATACAGATAACGTTTGCACTCTTACTGGGGGGAAACTCGGAGATCTGGACGCAATCCGTCTCATTCTATCTATCTATCTACAGGGTCACCCACAAAGGATGAGATTGCAAAGACGATTGCACAGAATTTGTTCAGTCCGTTTTATTTCATTCATGGTTCCTTGTAGGCAAAAACTGGCTTCTTTTTATACTTAATCATTAAGTAAACCATTGAAAATACTAAATTGAATGCAGAAACTAAAATTCCAGCTTTAAGTCATTATATTTTTAGTTTTGTGAGTCCTTCTTTACAGTCTCATCCTTTGAGGGTAACCTGTATCTATATATCTACATATGTATATGTATATCTATCTACCTATCTATTCATCTTTATATATCTACGATATCTTTCTGTTTGTGTCTATAAGTTCATTTTGGACTATTTACATTCTATTGATATATTTTAATTTTTTTGTCTTGAATAACTAAATTATGGATAGAGCCAACACGTCAAACTAAAGTATATTATGGATAGAGCCATAACACGTCAAACTAAAGTATATTATGGATATAGCCCTAACACGTCAAACTAAAGTAAATTATGGATAAAGCCATAACACTTCAAACTAAAGTAAATTATGGATAGAGCCATAACACGTCAAACTAAAGTAAATTATGGATAGAGCCATAACACGTCAAACTAAAGTAAATTATGGATAGAGCTATAACACGTCAAACTAAAGTATATTATGGATAGAGCCATAACACGTCAAACTAAAGTAAATTATGGATAGAGCCATAACACGTTAAACTAAAGTAAATTATGGATAAAGCCATAACACGTCAAACTAGAGTAAATTATGGATAGAGCCATAGCATGTCAAACTAAAGTAAATTATGGATAGAGCCATAACACGTCAAACTAAAGTATATTATGGATAGAGCCATAACACGCCAAACTAAAGTATATTATGGATAGAGCCATATTACGCCAAACTAAAGTATATTATAGATAGAGCCATAACACGTCAAACTAAAGTAAATTATGGATAGAGCCATAGTATGTCAAACTAAAGTATATTATGGATAGATCCATAACACGTCAAACTAAAGTATATTATAGATAGAGCCATAACACGTCAAACTAAAGTAAGATTGAAATCTGTTTTTAATCATATCCCTTCTTATTGAGCAGCTCTATTGAGAATTGTTAAAATGTTTTTAATTTTTGTAATCAATTTTGGTTTTCTCATACAGTGATAGCCAGAAAACTGTAGAATAGGAAGACGACATTAATGCAATACTGAAGTGCATTTGATGCTGTTACAAAGCAAATAGCTTTACTAGTAAATTAAATGGGTCTGTTTACATTTCACAATCGTTCTGTCTCATGTTCATTGGACTAGTTAATGTGATATCTTGAGTCTAAAAGTCAACTTCCTATTCCAGAGTTTTCTGGTTATCACTGTACTTGTTCGTAAAATCAAAGCTAGAGGAGCTACGGAGTCACAAAGGCGGGCAAGTAATGTTTCATACATTTGAGCATCTCCTATTGTTCATTGTGTCTGCATATACAAATATAATTGTTGAAAAAAGATGAGTTATCAACCAGCTGTTACACCTGTAAATTGCTTACCCCCCTCCCCCCATATGAACCTCCCCCTTCCTAACCGGAATTGGGGGGATATTATTTTTTTCTTTCACCTGAATCAGTTGATATCTCACTCATTGTAGTTGTTGGAGAACTATTCCTGGAAGGATGTGCTGTTGGAGAACTGCTGTTGCTGTTGGAAACATTTGGTTTGGTCATTCTCCTTGTCCCCCCACTGCTGTTGTTGTTGTTATAGTTGTAGTGGGTTGTTATTAGCCTATTGCTGTGCTCCTCTCTGCGTTTTAACACCATTCTAAACAGTTTAAATAATTAGTAATTGATGATAACAATTTACAGGGGCGTCATATTTTCCCATTTTCTTAGAACGGGATTCTTGAAATTACGCAAATCAAAATTCCCTCTAAAAGTCATCATTAAAATACGCAATAATAAACAAATCTTTATCATGACATTTCCCCCCCCCCCCATCACATCCTTTGCACATTGCCATTGAAATAATATTTTTAACAACAAGGTTTAAAATAGTGATAAAAAATCCTAAAACCCTCCCCCACCCTCAAATTTATTTTGATGTTTTCATATTTTGTTGCGTCATCAAATTTATCCTTTTAAAAGAGATTCTCCACAGCTTTCACATTGTTATCTTTCAAGTTTCAAAGGAATTTGACCTTTAAGAAAATATAAATATAAATCCAAAGTATACAGTAAATATATTTGAACAAAAACTAATTTTTTTTAGCTCGTTGTAAAAATGGGAGCAATCCTAAAACTATGGGGTATTCCCCTCCCCCCCCCCATCCAGGCCGATCTTGTCAACATAACGTTTACATCAATCAATGATTAAAGGAATTCAGCATCAATCATTATTAAAGAGGGAGTTCCCCGTTACCAAGAAATGTAGGTTTCAAAACAATGTTTGAATCAGGGGGATGGTAGTTCTCTACCTGTGTGCTCAGTTAGCTGTACTGTACATTTACAACTGTTTACTATAGTTCTCTACCTGTGTGCTCAGTTAGCTGTACTGTACTGCACTTGCAACTGTTTACTAATAATGATATACTATGGGCTAGGTTAAGAATCTTCTTATAATAAACAAATATGCAGTACGCTCTCAGTATAGAATATGGCAAGGAGAATTGAATACAAGGACGGGTGCAATAGGGTTTCCGTGCACTTTGCTGTGACGTATTTGGCCTGCTGGAGAACTAGTTTTTGCGTAACAACAATAATAAAGGCAGCCGATCTAATGTAAACAAACATGCGTTAGTATACGGTGAATCTTCATCTAACGCAGAGATGCACCAATGTCTGTTTATCCTTTGTGTTGTTGTTTACAATCTTTATCTTCATAATATAAAAAAAATATTTAAAAAATTTTACTTTTTGACATTTTCTCTAGGATTTTAAATTCGGCTGTAAAGTCGCTTATTGTTTACTAATACTAAGTCTGAAGAATCAAATTTATTGATGTCAGCGAGTCTTTACTTTCGAACCAATTTTCATTAAGTAAATGTAAGTTTGTTATAGTTATTGTATTGCATATTTTGTGTTTCAAATATTTTAATGTTTTTTTGCGCAATAATTGTTTAAATAAAAAAAGAAAACACAATGAATTTGCCTTTAAAGGGTATCAAAAATTGGAATAAAAAATAAAATTTTTGAAAACTTGATGATTAAAGATAAAAAACATTATTCCAGTGATAGCACATTAATTGATCGTATAGGGCTAATAGAATTAGAGTATTTTTTTCAGTGTATAGGCACTGCACGCACCTTGTTGCACCAGCTAGTCCTGTCCATAGAGCTAGTTACAGTACAAACTGGGACCGGAAAGGTTGACCCGGCTCGGAAATTTAAATGTACTATAGCTGCCCGTGACTGTAAAACTACTGTCCATGTGCAGAGATGACAATGCCCAATTCACAACGGTACCCGTTCAATCTTTGTCTGATCAAGTATGAATGTTTACAGTTTTAAAAGCAGATTATTTTCAAGTATTGTTTCTCTGCAAAAAGAATTAAACAATAGCGTCCATGTTTTTGATCAGATGTTTCAAAGGTACCGTTGTGAATCTGGCCATCATTGCAGGAATTGTCATTTAAAATCATGCTTACATTCCCTTTAAGAAGTCATGCTAGTTTCTTTTCGTATATGTATCCATTTTAAATCTCTGCATGCACACATCTATTTATTCAAGTAGAAATAGCTCAGGAATTCAGATGTTCTCGATGCAATAGATGCAGAGAATATATATCTTCTTAAAATAAGTCTAGAACAAGTTCTATTGTTTATAAAGATTGGTTATTTATTAGTTGGTATTTGGAATTATGCGTAAAATGGGTTTTCCTGCGATAAAAATAAAAAAAATTTGCACAAATTTAAATTTTTACGTCCTAATTTTTAAGCTGAAATATATATTTATCTATAACAATTTTTGTTATAGATAAATTAATTTAGAAAGCTACAAAAAATGTCAAATTTATGAGAATAGCTGAAATGACATTGTGATCTTGTAGCTCCTTTAAATTGAGTTTAGGCCCAGGGAAGAGAAAATAAAATTGATTTGAAAACAAAGTCGAATTTCGAAACTTTTTTATTCTCAATAGCTTTAGAAAGGTCAAATTTTATCCTATTTTTTGTTTGTAGCACTTTTTAGAACTTTAGTTTAGCGGCAAAATACCAATTCATAAAAGTTTATTTAATAAATGTTTTCAGAGAAAAATTCAATAAAATACACTCTCTTGTATTTATTTCTACATTTTTATTTTTTTTAAAACATGATGATAAATAATCAAAGACCATGATTAAGTTATGAATCGATCAGAACTTTTTTCAAGTTCTGTCTTCGAAAAAAATGAGCTTCGTTCGAATAGAAGAAAGATTAATAACAATACAGATAGAACACTACATGTCGTCTTTTCAAGATTTAAGAGGTTTTTCGTTCACAATAACCTTGAGGCAGAAGCCTAAAGGATTTCCGCGTAGGCAGCGTTGAATTGCAAGGAAAGAGAGAAAGCATGCGCGTAACTCCTTTGGGCCTCTGCCACAGGGTTGTTGTCAACGAAAACCCCCTAAATGTTGAAAAGACAACATCTAGTGTTCTATCTGTATTGTTATTAATCTATAGAATAGAATGTTTTAATTATGTTTACAATTTCAGATTATTCTAACCATTTCATTTTCCCAAAATGTTTAAACACCTGTCATTCGTAAAATTAGTATTAGTATTAAAAAAACATTCTTCTTCTTTCTACGCATATAGGGGTTGGTAAACCATGGAGTTTGCAGCAAAGACTCAATTCCTTTTGGGACACTTGTAACTATACGTAAAGTCTCTTTAAGTAAAAAACCTCATAGAATACTGTATAACCCTGAACTAGCATTACAGTTCCCCCTCTATCTGAAGTGTCCTAATTGTCTGGAGGAGTTAAGCCTGGTATAAGTACGTGTAATTAGAAATGACTGAGCTCAAATATCATCTAGGTGGAGAGCACGTTTTCTCTAGAACCTTGAGAACAGATTTAGCGAAACTGTAACCTTTAGGGATTTAACTGTCAGATTAAATACCGTGTTGACATGCTCGCGCTTTTAATTTACATTTTCCTTAACCCTAAATAAGCTGGAATGGGTGTTTGAGCTTGTCCCCCCCCCCCCCCCCGCCCTACTCTAGCCCGTTATAACTTCTTGACGGCTCAGTTTCATTTGCCATAATACTTTTGCCATAAATACTTTTGCCATAATTACATTTGCCATAATACATTTGCCATAAGTAACACTTGCCATAAGTTACACTTGCCATAATGGTTACACCTGCCATAATTACACTTGCTATGATTACACTTGCCATAATCAAAATTAAATTTGGTTAGAATTAACTAACATATATATATATTTTGATTACAAATTAAATACAAATTACAAATCTAATTCAAAGACAGTTCGAATTGTAGCTGAGCACATTTTAACCGAACATTTCCAATATTTCACTTCTTTACATTGGCTACATAGGTGTAGTTGTTGCTGTCTCGAACCATTGATTTACCCTTACTTGTGGTCTCAAGGGTCACCAAGGGGTCCTCCATTGTGAGAAAATATGGAGCTGAACTTGTGTCAACTGTTCTGTTTTAAAACAATGAGAAAACTAAAGTTAAGAATTTTCATGGGAAAATCCGCATTTGCAATAAAAAAGAAAGATTTATATCTTTTTTTTTAAATTAGAAATTATGACAAAAGTAATTATAGCAAGTGTAATTATGGCAAGTGTAACCATTATAGCAAGTGTAACTTATGGCAAGTGTGACTTATGGCAAGTGTTACTTATGGCAAAGGTATTATGGCAAGTGTAATTATGGCAAATGAAACTGAGACTGCTTGACTTTGTAGGAAAAGCAGGTTATTTTTTCACCAATATTTAGAGCACATTAAGTAGAGGGTTGGGTGAAAAAAAAAGGTCAATGTTTCAAGAAAAGGCAATCCCCATTTCATTTTTTAGGCTATACATTGAAATATATAAAACTAGTTATAAAAAACAGTAAAAAAAACTTTAGAAAATGAATATATGAATATAAGTCACACTCACATGTCAATTCTTGTCAAAACATTATTCAAATTATTTCTAATTTTTCAAGCGTAATTTTTGCAATGTTTTAAAACCTCACTAGCTTTCTTACTATTAAAATTATAGGTATAAATCTCTTTTATCATGAGCTAGTAGATAAAACATTGGGTTATGATAATGTATTTTACATAGTCTAAGTCCTTTTACAAGGCCTTCCGGGTTTCATCCCTAGCCTGTTAAAGGGACTGTAAGCGTAATTTCAAGTAACCCTTCATGCAAATATGCAATACTCGATTCACAATTTTAACCTTACAAGCTTTGTCTGGTCAAGTATGAATGAATATATCGAAGTTTTTTAATTTTGAAAAAACTAAGTTGTTATCAATCGTGGTTTCTCTTAAAAAGTGACTTGCGCTTTTCTACTGCAGGAAAGAACATAGGAATTATCAGAACTTAATACTTTTAAACTAAAAGATATTTCACATTTTTTATCAGATAATGGTTTCAAGGGTACCGTTGTAAATCGAGCATTTGTGAGGTTCAACAAAAAATGGTGCTGATCGCTTCAGCAGTTTCGTCGCCTAAAAATACATTTTATAGATTTCAAATTAAAATGATTTAAAATATAATTTTGTTGTTTTTCGATTCTAATAATTCCCCGTGTAAACAGTGTTCAAACAATAGGTTGAGAAACACCAGCTGCCAGGGAAGATGAAACATGGAGGAATCGATTAAAGTGTACAAGCAGAGTAGGGCTGGACAAAGTTCCGTAAAAGAACGGAACGAAAATGAATAAAAAAAATATTTTCTTTGTTATTTCAGAATTTTAGAAATATTTACGAACTATTGTTCTACTAGGTTCTTCAGTTAAAAATACCTTTATTTAACAATTAACACTAACTAATTTATTTAACAATTATACATGCTTTGCAGACGGTACTTCATTTGAATAAGAAATATTTGTCTTATGTACAATTACCACGTATACAATAACCTATTCTAAATATTTCTTAAACAAATGGAGTACCGTCTGCAAAGCATGTATATCATATGGTAGGGCGGGCCGCATCAGTTGTATCTATCGTCTATTTCATACTCCTTGGTTGGGCTATTTCTATCTATTAATGGTCGGGAGGATGGGCAAGGGAGGGGGCTGTAAAATTGCCCTTGTCGTTGTTATTATAACTGTCAAGTATAAAGATTAAAATTACCACGTGATCAGCTCTAATACAAAGGCACTTTAACTCTACTTACTGCACAGGGTATCTCAAAATATTAGATATCTAAAATTTCAAAAACATTTTGATTAAAAAGTGCCAAAACGATCGAACAACTGAACAAATGTTTTTTACATTTTTGTTCTATTTAAAACAGATAAAACTGTATAACTTAAAAATGGCAGCAGGGGGCATTATTTGACAAATGTGATCGGAGATAAATAAAAAAAATAAATAGAACATATCTTTTTATTATCGAAGCTTACAACATATTAGTTTTATAGTTGTCTTGCGTTATTACCACTTTTTGCAGAAATAAAATCAAAGTTATGTTTCAACCCCATGCCTAGACGTTTTTTATCAATTTATTTAACCTTTTGTATCGAAATTGTCCCTTACTTAAAAAATGCTCCATTTTTATAGAATATCCCCCGATGTTCAGGCTTGCAAAACAGTAATAACGAGTCAAATAAAATATTTTTCTTGATTTGTTTTTATCGGGTTTTTTTTCAATCCTTTCAATCGGCAAATATTCCTTCAGTTCAGACTTAAACACAAACAATATAACACAATAACTTGGTTATACATTTTATTTATCTTAAACACAGACAATATAACACAATAACTTGGTTTTACATTTTATTTATCTTTAACACAAACAATATAACACAATAACTTAATTTATCTTAAACACAAACAATATAACACAATAACTTGGTTTTACATTTTATTTATTTTAAACACAAACAATATAACACAATAACTTGGTTATACGTTTTATTTATCTTAAACACAAACAATATAACACAATAACTTGGTTTTACATTTTATTTATCTTAAAGGAAGTCTTCTCATATTTACATTTTATTTTATTTAAAGGGGCTATACACGAAATTTCAAGTGAATCTCCATCTACCCTTGACACCTTCGACTGGACACTGCAAACTAAGATGAGAAAGGTTTTACGCAAAAATTTGAGCAGTATTTTGCCAATTACACCTTTCAAACTTAAACTAAAAACAAACTTGTTACATTTTAGAATGTATAGGTCTAGGTTTACCAAATAGTATAGGCAGTGTGACACTTTAAAGTCAAGGCTGCCTAAAAATGTGATGAATAATTTCTAGAGTTGTAATATCTCAGAGTGGTCAAAGATGACCGACAGAAACTTTCTAAATGTTGAACACTTAAAATTTTTGATCGAATTTTTGAAATCCACGCTTGTAATCGAATGTTTTATAAATATTACATAATCTGCGTTGAGTTTACGTAGTACGCTAGTGTACACTTATTGTACGATTTTTCACTCAACATTTAATAAACATAAACAATGAGTTCTACCTCTTCGCTGATCAATCCAAGGTTTAAACAGTATCGTTTTAAATCTGGGAACATACTCCGAGCACCATTGGAGAAGATATGGGCGTTAATTCATCTGAGATAGTATTGAATTAATTCTGTTAATTCGTTTTTTAGTCTCCGGCGCATAAAATTCAAAAGTAACTTTCATAGAGAAACCAGGAATATAAATTGTCAATTTTTAGTTTTATATTTTTTGAAATTTCGTCTATCGTATACGTACCAATATTGATTATTGTTGAAACAAAATATTTGTCTTGTATATCGGATATAATCATTCTGTTTATTATTAGAAACATCCTAAACCAGTAAAAGTTAATTCTAACTTTATAATTTCAAAGAATTTAATGATATTTAGTTAAATTTAACTTAAACTTTCAAGATGGTGCTCCAATTTTAAAATTTGGCCTTCTAACTTTATAATTTCATAAAATTTTATGATGTTTAGTTAAATTTAACTAAAAATTTCAAGATGGTGCTCCAATTTTAAAATTTGGCCTTTAAAAAAATTATCTTTAGGACAGTATTGTTATTAAATTTGTCGAGATTAGCTTAAAGGGACTGCAAACCGTAAGTTTAAGTGAAGTTTCGTTTATTTCAAAGTATATATTAGAAATCGATGTTTATAATATAAAAATGTATATTTTCAATTGTGGTTTCTCTACGTTTTTACAATGTAACACTAAAACCTTGAAATTCTTTATTTGTAATCCGCAATTTGTAGTCGCAACATTCGTCAAATTTTTTAGATGAACTTTATCATTCAACAACATTTGAAGAATCGAGTTTCTATGTTGGTTCCGGTGTTCCAACAAGTTCTTAAAGATAAAAATTCGACATTTCTAGAAGACAAGAATAAGATGTTTATGACATATTTCTAATCTTGAAGTAATACAGTTTAATATAAAATGAGATAAAAACAAATCATTCAAAGAATCGAAGAATGATTAAAAAACTATTTCAAACTTCTACCCGAGGCTAAAATATAAAGATGATGGCATTGTAAGCTTATATAGCATTTTAAATAGCTTTTAATCTTGAACATAAACGTTACCAATTTAATAGGAATGTAATAAATAAAAGGAATGGTACTAAATCATTGCAGCCTGTAAATATAGATGTTCGTTATAGTTCGTTAACCTGTAAATATAGATGTTCGTTATATTTCGTTAACCTGTAAATATAGATGTTCGTTATAGTTCGTTAACCTGTAAATATAGATGTTCGTTATAGTTCGTTAACCTGTAAATATATATGTTCGTTATAGTTCGTTAACCTGTAAATATAGATGTTCGTTATAGTTCGTTAACCTGTAAATATANAAAGATACTTTAGATTGCAGTGGCAGAAGAGAACAGAGACTAACAAAGATACTTTAGATTGCAGTGGCAGAAGAGAACAGAGAGACTAACAAAGATACTTTAGATTGCAGTGGCAGAAGAGAACAGAGACTAACAAAGATACTTTAGATTGCAGTGGCAGAAGAGAACAGAGAGACTAACAAAGATACTTTAGATTGCAGTGGCAGAAGAGAACAGAGAGACTAACAAAGATACTTTAAATTGCAGTGGCAGTAGAGAAAAAAGAGACTAACAAAGATACTTTAGATTGCAGTGACAGAGGAGAAAAAAGAGATTAACGAAGAGAATGAGCTTGTGACAGATTTCTTCTTCACAGATCAGGATTTAAAGGTAACATCAGGGTAACAGGAGACAAACAAAAGAATTTAGACTTTGCCACAAACTCAAATATTCTAATCCCTATATCTTTGTGTTCTGAGTCCGAATTTAATGAATTTGAGCCGCGTCTCAAATCTCCTAAAAACCGGTTTCAATTGAGTGCCGGCTTAAATATTAAAACATTGAATACGATTTTAAGTGAAACCAACCATATTTGAGCCGCAGCTTAAATTTAAGCCGCGGCTCAAATTCTTTAAATTTGGCCTCTGCATGGTATAGTAAACCTTTCCAAACTTAGATTATTTGTTCTAACAAAATTCATAGTTTTAAATATCTAAGTTCTACGAAAATAGGTTGCAAAAACAAAGGGATTAAAAAATCTGAGTTTGTGGCCAAGACTCAATTTCTTTTTTACCATTACAAAAATCCCATTTATATACAGGGTGTCCCAATAAAAATTGGAATTATGAGACAAACTCGAAATCGTTTTTGTTAAGAATTAGTGTTGTATTACCTAATGGCAATGATTATAATAAAGTTCCGTCTGACAGAGTCTATGCACAAATCAATAAAAGGCTGTACTGTGTTTCACTCTTGTATGCCGTGTCCATTAGCGCCTGATCCAATCAGAGTTAAGTCATGTGTTTGTTGTCTATTCTGAACCAATAGAAATAGTGTGGCGGTAACGTCTATCTTTCTATCTGTCTCATTATCCAATTAGAGATAAATCCTTATTGCAGCGCTATACACTAAATGGAAATATTTACTTCTACTGAAACTATAGTGGTTTGTGAACAGGAATTTCTTATTTTGTTAAGCACAACAGATTCTAAACTCTAGCAGACGAAAAATCTACGGATTATAGTTTCTCATCATACAGAATTAAAAAATCATTTGCAAGGACGATGTTACAACCGTCACACAATTCCTTGGTTTAATTGGTAGAATTAAACGAAAGAACGTAGCCGCCAATGATCCTGCTTTGTATTAGTTATATCTGTATAAAAAGTCTATATTATAAATAGAAATGTCTGTTTTTCCTTATGTCCTCGTGAAAGCTAATTTGATTAAAACTCAATTTCTGTGAGTGTTCTTTCCGATAAGTAATCTTAATAAAATTTAACAGAAAATAAAATTTAGAAAGACTTTTTATAGATTCTTAATTTAATATTAATCTCTTTCTGTAATTGAATAGAATTGATAACTTCTAAATAAATTCTACTCTTCTCATCCTTATATCTTTGCGACCCAATGTCGCAGACCATATTTAAAAATGTAAATTCTGTTAGATCAAATAATCTAAGTTTGACATTTCAAAGGCTTATATCATTAGGTTGCAAAGATATGGGATTAGAAAATTTGATTTTGTGGCAAAGATTCAAGTCCTTCAGTCCTCTATATGAAAGAAAAATATATTATTAAAATACTAATATTAGGTCCCTGAAAGCATCAAGAGAAGTTTGAGTATTGCATACGATGGAAAGGTAGATATGGAAAAATATGAAAAAATAACATGTTTTTTATAAATATTTATGTTTTTTGTAAATGTTTACATCTTGCGGAAAGAGTATACGGAAAACTTATTCCTGTAAAGAAAAGATAGAATATCCGAAATGTTTCAAAATTCCGAAATCTATAAATATACTTTGCTGTGTGTTTGTCAGTTTGTTTGTATCCAATAAACGTTTAAACGGCTGAACCGTTCGGGCCCAATTTTTTGTGTGAAACCTCACATGACCCAAGGGAAGGTTTATAAAAGATCAAAATTTAAAAATTCGCCTCAAACTAAATTCGATTTCCATTAAATTTGAAAATCCACTGCATTTTTTTATAAAATTTGCCAAATTTTTGTTTGTTTTTATTTCACCCTGTATACAAAGAGAAAATGCTCATAATTGAAACAGAATATGGGCGCGAAGCGCCCTGAAAACCTAATCAATCAATATTTTTAAAAGATCTTGTTCAAATTTTTAACATTTTACAATTCGCACTTATTGGCATTGTCATATTCATTAAAGAGTGATCTATTAAAATTATTTAAGCTCTCCCGCAAAAATCAATGAGAAATTTACCAATTAATACTTTAAAACTTTAGCTAAAAGCCAGGGATTGAGTTTGTGAGGAAAAATCAAGGCGTGGCAACACTTCAAAGTCCAACCAGTTTTTAAAACAGATGCCACTTTATAGCAATCTGAATCTTTATATAGGTTTTTTGAACAATAAACTGGTCTTTAATTGTTAGCCTGCTGTCAACATTTAACATGAACAATACTACAGTGATAACCAGAAAACTCTCGAATAGAAAGACGACTTTAAGACTTAATTTTTGACTTAAAAGGGACAGACCGGCTATGCAAGGCTGTTGAACTGAGTATGCAACGTTGTGGAAAAATTCTTTAGAATTCATTTAAGACATATAAAACTTTTTAAAGATCTGTATTTTCTTTTTTAATTATTAATTTTAAATAGTCCAATAAACATTAGACATAGCAGTTGTGTATCGCAAACAGGCCAATTTCAAGCTATTGCTAAAACTATAGTAGCTATGTAACCTCATTTAGATCAAATATACTAAATTGATATTTAAATGGCACCTTCCTATTTTATAGTTTTCTGGTTATCACGGTATAACGTTTATTCATAGATTTCATTTAAATTCAAATATCATCTTTCCGATCACAATAACTCGATGAAATGAAACTTAAAAACTTATAAAATTGAGAAAATCTGTCAGTAAATAATTGAATAAAAGATTTTAAATTTAGAGTAAACGAAACAAGAACTTTATGATGGTGAAAAATGAACTGGAGGAAAGAGAAAGAAAACATAAACGTGAAACAGAAAAGGTTTTTTTTCTTTTGACTTTAAATAAATGAATTTAAGTTGTAACAAAGTTAAAAAGTCTGATAAAACTAAATTTGTGAACCTGTTGTTTTCTTTAATATCATAATTTTAAACTTTTTAGTTATTCTTGTAAAAAAATATACAAACATTTTAGCATTGTATGTTAATCTTTTAAACAGAGTAGTTTGGAATACTTCTATGTATAAATTTGGCCTGTCTGTTTGTCTGTGTGTATCCAATAAACGTCAAAACGGCTGAACCGATCGGGCCCAAATTTTTTGTGGGACATCACGTGACCACAGGGAAGGTTTATTTTTAAAAAAATGTGTTTTAAAGGTTTTTGATTTTTGTAAAAAAATTTAATTCTTGAAAATCCGCGAATTTTTTTTTTTAAATCCGCAAAATTTTTTGCTTCTTTGTTTTAAAATGTAAATAAAAAGAACATATTCACAATTTAAATAGAAGATGATCAACAAATTGGATTCTAAGAACGTCAGATTGGTTCTTTTTCCTGACTGGAAGGGCCTTCACTTAATTTATCACCCATTTATTTATTAAAACATTGGTTAAAATTGGTTACAAAAGAATCTCAAACGTATTATTAAATATTTTTCTTCACCGATTAATTTACAAAATGGCCGACAACAAATTCTTGATTAGCGGATTTCTCTCATGGGATAGAATTTTTAGTCATTAGTTAATACAATTTACGAACTATATTCCTGCACTCTCATTGGAGAAAATAATGTACGGATATCCAAAAAAGAGAAAAAGAGTGGATTAGGGACTAAAAGTAAAAGTTTCCATTCCACAGTGGATATTCGGATTAAGTTGTCGGGATTAAAGGTTATCCATTCTAAAGTTCCAAGCTCTGAATTCAATTCCCGGAGTATCCATAGGCGCAATCTGGTGTAAAGAATAGTTAGAATCTGGTGTAAAGAATAGTTAGAATCTGGTGTAAAGAATAGTTAGAATCGGACCGTTTACTCAAGGTTTGTGTTTGTACAGTGTATTTAACTGACTGGAAAGTGGAAAAAAGTGCTTCTTGATCGAAAAAGATTTATGTTGTATAGATACAACAGGTGATGTATGTTGATGGTCAGAGGAATATGGCTGTAGTTCTAGGAGAACGGGATGTAAAATCAGATGTCAAGGCTAAACAAAGGTATTGAAGACGTTTATCTTGCTCGGAAAGAGTAACAAAATAATTTTATTAATTTTACATTTGTTTTATAAAATTGTTCGTAAAGGTGTGCGTGAATGAATCACAATGTTACTTTTTAAACCTTTGTATGCGCATAAACAATTGAGTTATCCCTGTTTTTCATTCTGAAAATGTGTTATTTTTGATGGGGGTTTCTTCAGAAAGTGGTTTACTTTAGCAGAGAAATGAAAGGAAATGAAAGGCCCGCATATAACGCTTTAAATTAAGAATAACTTGAAATTAAGGAGAGATCGACGAGTAATATCAGTTGCCGCTGAGGGTGAGACAACAGACGCAGATCTGTACCAAGAACAGGTAGATAAACCTCAAGCTAAAGTTAAATAAAAGAAAACTTCATCATAATACATAAATAAAAACTTGGAAGTTTTATTGTTTTGTTTTTTCTAAAGACGATACAAAACAAATTAACAAAAAAGATCTTCTCATCCATAATTTTTACAACCATATAGCGTCTATAACGTTCTCAGTATGGTGAAACCCGGCAAAAAAATGGAAGGCATTATACTAAAATTAGATTATGTGCTGTCTGGAGACATACAAAGTACGTCAAAGAGGCATACATGCTAATTTGGAAAAATCTTTGCTCTGTAATCTCAAAAATGTTCTTTATAAGTCTTCGTTGTCTCCAATTAATTGTTGTAAGATTAAATATTTTGAGAAATTATCCAGATATTACAGAAAAAAATGTAAGATAGAAATTATAAAAGATTTATTTCTAATGATATTAATATCAGGGAGAGATAGAGTTGAAGAATGGAGGAGATGTTAAAAAGGTATATTTTACATTTTTATTTTTATTCATCTTAAAGGAATTGATGTTCTAAAACTGGTTTTCTTGAAGAAAAAAAATCGCTTTAAAGTGTTCCATTTTCTAGAATTTGATATTATCTTAACCCTATCTCTGCTGGGGTACTTGAAAACCAGGATATGCTGGGGGGGCAATTTGAACCCCCCCCCCTCTAAATCCCATGTTTGATATCCAAATATGACAAATGATACATCATTGGAAAGCTCTTGTGCTCTACTTTTAGAATCTGCAAAAAAATTTGCAAATTTGCAAAAATTGAATTTTTTATCGCAAAATCCAGTTATATAGTAAAAATGTTTGCAAAAAAAATTGTACATACTTGAAAAGCCCTTGACCAAGCCATTTCAAATATGCAAAAAATTTTGCAAAATTTTAAGTAACCTGATTTTTAATCAAGAAAAACTAAAAATGTGCAAAATTCCTTTGACAGGTTGTTTGCAAAAAATTTGCAATTTTTTTCGCAAAACTTGTGCAATTCGTTTTCTTATGTCAAAGGCTTTCCAAAAAACTTAATTTTATCAAAATCTGACAAGTGGAAGTGGGTCAAAACAAAGATTTAGTTTGTTACAGGAAAAAGCAGTCATTCAGGCAGTGTGCCTGAGGACTCAGGCAGTTAGTATTAAAGCCCGGTTTTAGGCCTAAAGGGAGGGCTTTGGGTATGTAGGAAAACTCATAAAATTGCAACAGCCTCAGACCAATACTTTTTGAGTTATGTAAAAAGAAAACTACAGGGGGGGTCAAATTGACCCCCCCCCCCCAGCAGGAATAGGGTTAATTTCAAACATGTAAACAAAATGCAAGTATCTGCAGGTCGAGTTATCTCTATTGCTAACAATTTGCACAACAAACTCAGCTAGTGGGATTGGTTGAATAGGCCTATGATAGGCCGGATACTGTAAAAAGCCTGGCCGCGCCATCAAAGCTGAAACTGAGCCAGCTTAGGATAGGTTAGGGCTGGTACTTGCCGGATGTCAATAAAGGCAGATACAAGGGGTCGGTCCTGTTAGAATTTATATTGAGTCTAGTCCGTCATTTTTGTGAACAATTTTTCTTTAATTTTTTATTGTTTCCTTTTCCAGGCTTTGTTTTATTTGTCCCGAGCAGTCCTTTTGAATGATTACGATGAAACTGCTCTTGTTGCCCGGAGCACGTGAGTTTTCTTTAAACATTATTCTCCACTGGAAGATTAAGTTTTACTGCAACAAGTTTGACTTCAGAAATCCTCAAAAACGTATTTAAAAATCCGCAAATTGAGTGTTTCTATGTAATATTATAGAGCATTTTGATTTATATAAAAAAATCATTATTTCACACTGCTATTCACTCCGAATAACCAGAGCGAAATGCAGTTTGTTTATTCTTTTTGAATTCAATCATGTGCTGCTCTATAAATCAACAATCATTAAACTTACGCAGTTGTCTTTTTTATTCTTTTTCGTTTAATCATCATTATCATTATCATCATTATCATCATTATCATCATTATCATCATTATCATCATTATCATCATTATCATCATTATCATCATTATCATCATTATCATCATTATCATCATTATCATCATTATCATCATTATCATCATTATCATCATTATCATCATTATCATCATTAGCATCATTAGCATCATTAGCATCATTATCATCATTATCATCGTTATCATCATTATCATCATAAAAATTATCATTACCATTGTCATCATTAACCGCATACTGAAATCCTTGCATGTCTAGATGCATCCTGAAGTATATTTATATCTAGATGCATGCTGAAGTTTATTCATATATAGATGCATGCTGCAGTATATTTATGTCTAGATGCATGCTGCAGTATATTTATGTCTAGATGCATGCTGAAGTCTTTGCATTATATAGAAACATGCTGAAGTATATTCATGTCTAGATACATGCTGAAGTACATTCATATCTGTATGCATGCTTGGGTATATTCATATATGATGCATGATGAAGTATATTCATATCTAGATGCATGCTGAAGTCTATTCGTGTCTAGATGCATGCTGAAGTGTATTCATGTCTATATCCATGCTGGAGTCTATTCATGTCTAGATGCATGCTGAAGTGTATTCATGTCTATATCCAATATCCATGCTGAAGTCTATTCATGTCTAGATGCATGCTGAAGTGTATTGTCTATATCCATGCTGGAGTCTATTCATGTCTTGATGCAAACTTAAGTTTAGTCATGTCTAAACGCATACTGAAGTTTATTATTGTCTAGATGCTGGTATTCATGTCTATGTGCATACTGAATTTTAGTCATGTCTAGATGCAAACTTAAGTCTAGTCATGTCTAAACGCATTCTGAAGTTTATTCATGTGTAGATGCATATTGAAGTTCAGTCATGTATAGATGCATGCTGAAGCTCGGAAGATATGAGGAGGCAATACGAGATGCTAAGAATGCAGTAAAAAGAACTAAACATTCAATACTAGCAATGGAGGCATTAGGTAAACTCAAGGAACTACACAAGGAACTAGGCTGGGCAACGTACTGCTAATGAACGGCAAGTTTTGAAAATTAACAGAAGAGTAGTCGGTTAATGGACGGCAAAACCGTTCATTTTGAGATCGTTTTTGAACGAAATATAAGCCGTTCCTGAAAAAATTAACGGTTTAAAAATAAGCACAATTGAATGTGTTGAAAACTGATAGCTACTTTCGTTAATATTTCAACTTAAACTTGCATGTAAATAGAAAATAAATTTTATGAACTTTGATATCTTTTGTGTTTTTATGTTGTGAACGTTTTCTTCAAATTTTACCAGCTGATCTTACATGAAATAACCGTTAACAGCTGGCTAATGAACGGCTTTTAAAAAGTCTGTACGTGCACAGTCCTACTAGGAAGTAGGAACCCCCGATTCAAATATAAACAACACCAAATAGTTGCCTACACTAAATGAACCTCTCCCTTCTCGAATTAAACGATTGTTACAGTTAAACCCTAAATAGGCCAAAAATCGAAAGAATTCATCAAATGTCGTATTATTCACTTTCTGATAATGGAATGTTGCAGATATTTAGTTTTTTAATTAAATGATTATACAGAGCTCTTTAAAACTGTTCCCAAAGATTCATGGCTATTTGTTTACTTTCGCAAATACTGAGATTTACGTAAAATAGTATAAACACATTAAAAGATTGTCAAGACGACATTTGATTAATGCTTTCGATGAATATGGCAAATTTAGGGTTTAACTTTATAAAAATACAGAAACTCTGTTTCTATAACATAAACTTGTTTAAATAGCTACTTTCGTTAATATTTCAACTTAAACTTGCATGTAAATAGAAAATAAATTTTATGAACTTTGATATCTTTTGTGTTTTTATGTTGTGAACGTTTTCTTCAAATTTTACCAGCTGATTTTATTTGAAATAACCGTTAACACCTGGCTAATGAACGGCTTTTAAAAAGTCTGTACGTGCACAGTCCTACTAGGAAGTAGGAACCCCCGATTCAAATATAAACAACACCCAATAGTTGCTTACACTAAATGAACCTCTCCCTTCTCGAATTAAACGATTGTTACAGTTAAACCCTAAATAAGCCATATATCGAAAGAATTTATCAAATGTCGTATTATTCACTTTCTGATAATGGAATGTTGCAGATATTTAGTTTTTTAATTAAATGATTATACAGAGCTCTTTAAAACTGTTCCCAAAGATTCATGGCTATTTGTTTACTTTCGCAAATACTGAGATTTACGTAAAATAGTATAAACACATTAAAAGATTGTCAAGACGACATTTGATTAATGCTTTCGATGTATATGGCAAATTTAGGGTTTAACTTTATAAAAATACAGAAACTCTGTTTCTATAACATAAACTTGTTTAGCTAAATTCAAATGTGTCTAATTAAATTGTTCCAATTAAGAAAACAATTTTATTTTTGCGAAAAGAAAAATGCTAAATTTTCTAAAATGTTTAAAGTGTAACACAGTTTACAAGAATGAAAAAATATTTCAAAATTTTTTTTAATGGCCAATTGAGAGCCATTTTTTGGAAATAATAAATAAAATATCATAATGAAAGACATTAGCATTGATATATTTTTAATTAATATTAATCCTCTGTTTTTAACTCAGTATTTCAAGACGGATCTTTTAATATATTTTTTCGGTCTTCCGCGAATTTTTTAATCTTTTTTTTTCTTAAAATAGCTCTCAACTCACAATTAAAAAAAATTCTTAGAATATTTAGGCACATTTATCCCGCACACATCCTAAGCTCTCAGTAAGAACAAACGACCACCCAAGTACATAAAATATACTATTTCAAATGTACTGCAGGAAAGTCGATGTACACAGCAGGAAGGTTTGAGAACGCAATTGTACAATTTCAAAGAATTCAAAGGTAAAAACAAGGTGATATATTTTATGTACAGGGTGTCCCAATAAACATGGGAATTCAATGATGAATTCGATATCGTATTTTTAAATAATTCTTTGATTTAGTATAATGATACCTACTGAGAAAGCTGTATTCTGTAAGAGTTTCGTCTGCTATGTTCACATTTTGTTTGTTTTTGTTTTGACTGCATACGGTTGTACTTAGTAAAACAAGAAAATTGCAGTATACAAACAGAGTAAACTTGTCCGTCTTCACTGTTTATCTTGCGGAGACATTATAGACACATCTTAACAGTCGTTTACCCTTTTCATAAAATAAACTCTAGCAGACATGGCTTTTGAAATTAGGTATTACAATGCTAATTCATAACAAAGACGATATCGAATTCGTCACTGAATTCCCATGTTTTTTTGGGACACCCTGTATGTTTCCAATAAAGGGTTGCCAAAAGCAATCATCGAGAGAAGCTATTTTTCTAATCCAATATTTGCACTGATGTAGCAGACATTTTATATTTTTAACAGCGAATGCTTTTTCAAATAGTCAAATTGAAATACTCTAATCTACAACGTTTCATAAAATAGGGGGAAATAGACTTAAGTATAAGAAACTTTAAAAAGACTCGAGCTTTAGAATAAGTTGCAACCTAAACTATGTTTTGATTCTCGGGTTTAAGGCTTCATCTTAGACCCGGTGTGGCCTTATTTGTAGGTAAACGTTAAATAATGGTAGTAGACTCTACGCAGCAAATTTCCCGCTGCATTTGCGCACAATTCTGTGAATGTAAACAGTAAATTAAGTGAAAGTATTTCTCATATTTGAGAATCAATCAAGTTTTGCTGAGCGACAGACAATAAAAATCAATTGTTTTAACATTAGGGATCGATATTACAGCTTAGTTTATGTTAGTTTTTTTAAGATTCTGATACTTGCAACTTATGAGAGTTTAATTTATAGTTAATTACTTCTGTACTCATATTATATATCAGCATATAGTGTATATTTGAAGTTTATAAATATAATTTCTTATTTTGAAATTTCAGACAAAATACCAGATTTCTGTTGTGGGCATTGCTGTAAACAGCTAAAAATATGCGCGGATGCCGCGGAAAATTTGCTGCGTAGAATCTACTACCATTATTTAACGTTTACCCAGAAATAACGCCACACCGGGTCTAAGATGAAGCCTCAAATCAAAACATCGTTTAGGTTCCAACGATATAAGTTATCAATCAGTCCTCTTTGATTTAGAATCCGAAAGTCGAAGATGATCACAGATTGGATAGAGAGATGCGAGGAAACGATAAAGGAAAAAATAAAGAAATATTTATTAATTTCTGATCTATTTTTCATAATTATTATTATCAGCTTTTAAAAAAAAATTTTTTTTGTTTTTTTACATATTCTTTATTTGCATGCAGGCATTTTTATCCGCTGTGCAGTTTGAGCCTCAGATTGTTGAAATGTTGTGGTAAAAAAAACTTAATTAATTTGTTTAGGCCTTACATGTTACAGACCCCTTTCTGGAAGCTTTCAAGGTTGATGAAAAATTTTGAGGAAATTTATCAAACCCAATATTTCCCGTTGTAGGGTGATTAAGTGAAAAAGTAACTTTTTAACACTTCCATAAAAATTTCCAATTTCATACCTAATGTTGCCAATTGTAGGGTGATAAACTTACTTTATCACCCTACAATAGAATGATTAAGTATCTTTATCTACCTGCTATTAAATAAGTTGAGTAAAATATAGAATAAAACTATATTGGAATGGGTAGCATGCGTGCGAAAAAGCTTTTGCTGTGATTTTTACATTTTCTAGGTTTTCGATCCAAACAAAAGTATTTTGACTTAAATCACACCTTACAACGTTCGGTGTAAAAATACTTCTTAAACTAACTATAAGAAATAAAAATCCCGACAAAAACTTTTTCGCACTTAATAATACCCATTATACAACGACATAAAATGATATAAAAACTTTTGGAAATCAAATTTTTAATAAATATTATCTACCCCCTAGATGTTACAAAGCACTGTGTGTAATTATACGGGATGATTATTCCATATTGAAATTTATACGGAATCGACTTTTTTCAGCATGTCACCCAAAGCCCTAATTGTAGCTTGTTCTCGATTCGGTTAAGAAAGGTTTCATAGTTAATTTACAATAGTTGTAATGTATAAGCATTCTTAACAGCTTCAAGAAAAGGTTTTGTCAAATGGGCCTTTACTGTTCCAAATTGATCTGAATAAAGGAAACTCTAGAAGAAAAAAAGTTCTTAATTATATTTATAAAACGAAGATATACCTCATGGATCGGACCTTTCATAGACAATGACATTTTATCGATAGAGGAAAAAGAGGAAATTGCATGGAGACATTTATTTCTATATTTATATTTAATTATGGTGTTTTTTTCTATTTTTCAGAAGATTACACTTTGCTGTCCATAAAAAATTTTATTTTCACAAACCTGAATAGTCTGCATTTATAAAAATAAATTTTCTATCCGATCTATGAAAATGTTAACGAAGTTTTTTGTGTATACAAATGTTCCAGTCAATGAAACTTCCATCCATAACATTTTTTTTAAAAGTTTTCTTTCTTTTTGTTCATTTTAGGCAGGAAACTAATCAAGGCCAGGTGGACAATGCAGAAGGAAAGTTTATTTAATTATCTATAAATTGTTGATTTCTTTATCATTTTACACATAAAGGTACTGTAAGCCTTAATTCAAGTAACCCTCCATGCAAAGAGGGCAACTGTGCCCTTTAAACCTTTATATGTTAATAAGTACAGAGAGCTAAAGGTGAAAATCTATCAAAAACCGGTAAAATTCCTAGTGTACACTGCATGCAATGTGAACTCAACGCAGCTTTACCTTGAAAATTATTGAATAGTGTTCGTTAAAAGTGGTTTTAAAATATTTATACTCCAGCACATCCAGAACTTTTGATAACATTTTTTTCCTGTTTCGAGGGTTTTTGAAAATGAAGACGACATTTTCATATTTTCCAGGAAGTTCGAAAATCAAGTGCCAGTCGTGAAAACAAGTTGTAAGCGAAATATTATCTTTAAAAAAATCAAAATATTCATGAAATATCAACTTTTTACGAATGCGTCGAAAAATTATCGATGATAATACATAGGTTGTCATATCTGAATGATTTTTTTGGAATTAAATTTACTTTTACGATCTGAATGTGTATGGAAGCTACGTTCTTCGGTATGAGTCGTTTTTAACAAATTTCTCCTTATAGACACAACAGATAGAAGCAAGATTAGAAGCAAAAATCAAATCAGACTTTTAGTGTTTTAGGATTAGTTGCAATCACTATCGATAATTTTTCGCGGTAAGCCTACACCCCCTTTCATTTTTCGCGAACACTCCCTTTAATATAAAATAAATTTCACATATTCTGTAAATTTTCTACCCTATGGATTTTGTTGTGATGAATTAGTATTGCTAATGCAGAGAGAAGCTGACTCAAATATGTTTTATTTTTATATTTCTATTTTACTTGAAATAAACTGGTTTTATGTTGATATTAAAGAGGAAAGCCTGCCAACAGAAAAAAGTGACAAAAAACTGAAGAACAACCGGTAAACTTTTTAAAAACCGAAAATACATTTTATTTGTAAAAAAGGGAAAACACTTTTCAGTTGAATTTCAAATTTTTGTTTTCCCTAAATCTTTGAAGTTTGTTGTTGAAAAAACAACTACTTCACAGGAAACTATAAAGGGTTCCCAGAACCAACTTAGTCTACAAAACACCCCGAGTGTAGCACCACTGTAGCGAGTTATGTTTTGAATGGAAAATTTGTCGAAGGAACCTGCAGGAACTCGTAGTTAAGTCAAATTTTTTATTTTCCGAAAAAGTTGCGAAAAATTAAATTTCCGAAATGTTCCGGAAATTTGATCGTCTTTTGAAGTGTAAATGCGCGATTTTTCTCAAAAAACTTCAATAGCACATAGATTCAGCCGGCTTATAGAAGTCTCATCAATTTTTAAGATAGTGTCGACTTTGAAGTGTCGCAACGCCTTGGGTTTTGATTTTTCCGCTTTAACTCACTTATGCTTTTCTGTAGCCCTTTCCATGTACATTTTAGCACTTTAAAGCACTTGGTGTTAGCTTTGGCTTTAAAGAAGTAATTGGCAAAATTCTCATCTCATCAAGACCTTTAAATCACAGTGAAAGTGTGTCAATATTTTACTTAATTGTCCCAAGGATTTTTTTACAAAGATTATTAGATTGTCCTCAGAGTGATACAAACAAGAAAAGTAACAAAAAATGCTCAAATTATTACTAGAAATAGTGTCTGGAATCCTAGATTATTTTATTTAGATATAACAGTTGAAGAAACTCTGATAATTTTTAGTCACGAAGTCTGGCTTATTAATTATATTTTAAAGGCACTGTAAGCGTAATTCCATGTCACCCTCCATACAAAAATGCCAATGCCTGACATACAACTATATCCTCATAACACTAATTTGATAAAAATGTGGAAGATACTTTCGTTTTTTTAACGCAAGGCAAGTTACTTTAACAGATAATCCGCAAATGAAAAAAAAACAGATTAAAGAAACCAAAAACTTTCAATCTAATTCAAACTTGATAAGAAAAAGCTTTCAAGTGTACTGTTGTAAATCGGGCAATGACATCTTTGCATTGAGGGTCACTTGAATTTACGCTTACACAGTCCCTTTAAGGAAAACTAAACAAGAAACCCGAGCTGAAGTTATCCTGATGGGCAAACTCAAGGCAGATATGGATTTTCTAGGTAGACATTAAAGGGAATGTTAAGGTAAAATGAAAGGGGGTATAGGCTGAAGTCTAAACATTCTAGGAGTTGATCGCGACCAATATTAGTTCTATCTGATTTCCCCGTATCGAGATGTAGTACTGTGTCAACGTTTTACAAAAACTCTTATTTACGTAATCTAGTCGATCAAGCCTCGTGACCAGATACTAGACGGACATTGGTGGAAATTCTGGTCTCGTGATACAGACGTAACAATTATATTATTAATTGTATCTATTAAAAATGAATGAATATTATATTCAAATTATAACAGAAACGTACCTAAACGTTTTAGGTACCTCTGCGTTATCCTAAGTTTCATATATTTATTTCGTATTTGCTGAATATGATCTGTTTAAAACTTTGATTCGTAACCATATCTCATAAATAAGAGTTTTGGTATAACTTTGACTTTAACACAATCAGATACAAATAATATTGGTTACAATAAACTCTTTAAAAGATTAGGTTTCAGCCAATACCCCCTTGCAACCTTAACAGTCCCATTAACTTTGGAGAAAAAAAATGCTTTTCACATCATTCGCACCTTCTCTTAGTAAAAAATATTATTTTTTCAACTTTAAAGCTGAGAAACTTTGTTTTAAAGGCATTTATTTTTATCAAAAATGTGAGATCAAGACCAAACCATTTGTATCTCCGGATTCAAAAGACAACAACTTTTTGAACCAGCGCAAAGTTTGTAATTTTTAATTTAATATTTAAATTAGAATATGTTTTTCAAAAATAAAGTTATTTTTATTTCATGGATTGGATTTTAAAAACATTAATAAGATGCAAAAACAAATATTTAGGCTCCCTTTCTGATCATCCTGGACTTATAACTCAACATATAGCAGATCCTGATCTTAGAACGAAAAATCTGGTAGATATAAAAGAAAATGCACAGTGTGAACCAACGGAATAGAAAGACGACATTATAGTATTATCTTAATTGAATTTAACTTTGTTAAAGAGCAAATATAGTTTTACTATTGTAACTTATTAAATCACTAATTAAGTTAGATTATTCTGTTAACACTGCTCACGTTCATGTGGCTATTAAATGTACTCTAAATATCGTTCCCTATTTCAAAGTTTTCAGGTTATCACTGTTTTTTGGTTTAACTGTAATTTCCTGGGTTTTTTTCAGAGTGGAGGCATTGTTGATCAGGAAATCAAAGGAGCAGCAAAAGAGGGTTTAGAGTTTTTAAAGGCTAGTAAAAACATTATTTTGACAAAAATAAATGTTATGTTAAAAAGAGAGACGAAATTTCAAGTAAGCTTTTATTTAAAAAAAGACCTCATGTCCGCGTCACATCTGCGCTCTTTTTAACCTCTATATGAGTAACAATATGGAAGAAATTTTGATAATATCCCATGATTGTTTATTTAGCTTAAATTTGAATTTTTATGAGAAACTGAAAAAAATCAATTCCTCCATCATTTAAATCAGACCAAGGTTGAATCAATACCGTTCTGAATCAAACACTTTATTTTTGAAATAACGTCCCAAAATCTCTTTAAAATCATTTCTTTAGGTTCGAAAAACATTTTGGGAAACCTCTGCTCCGCCTGCTAGAAGAGGAAAACTTCCGCCTTCTGAGCTGGCAAAACATCCGGCAGTTCGGTTTAAAGATCTAATAAAACCCTGCGCTCCGCCCACCCATTTAGAGGAAATTGCGTATTTATTAAAAAATTCAAACATCGATTCTCAATAAGAAAAGAGTAAACTTTCAAGAGAAAAACTAATTTCTCGGCTAAAATTAAAACTTTTATTACTTATATTTCTAATTATAAATCAAGTTGGATCAGTTAGTGTCAAAAGATTTCATCATCAGAAAGAAAAAGAAAATTTAATACCAGATTTAATGAGAATACAATTTATTGTAAAATTTTTCTTTTATACAGTTAAAGAATTATTTTCTATGAAATAAAATTTTAAGTTAAATTCTTGTATCGTTATTAATTTTGGTATTCATCTTGTTTATTTCTTAATTCCAAGTTATTTTCTAATAAATGTTTACATTGTATTGAATTGCTAGACAGGTTTTGAAAATTTGCCAATAACTAGAGTCAAGAACTTTTGTAACCAACAAACTTTGGACTTACACATGTCGGACCTACTAAGGTTAGAATTACAAACTTTGGACTTACAAAAATCGGACTTACAAATGGCAGACTTACAAATGTCAGACCTACAAACTTTGGACTTACAAATTCTTCGTACTTACACATGTCGGACCTACTAAGGTTGGACTTAAAAACGCCAGACTTACAGATGTCGGACCTACTAAGGTTGGACTTAAAAACGCCAGACTTACACATGTCAGACCTACTAAGGTCACACTTACAAACTTCGTACTTACACATGTCGGACCTACTAAGGTTGGACTTAAAAACGCCAGACTTACACATGTCAGACCTACTAAGGTCAGACTTACAAACTTCGTACTTACACATGTCGGACCTACTAAGGTAGGACTTAAAAACGCCAGACTTACTCATGTCAAACCTACTAAGGTCAGACTTACAAACTTCGGACTTATACATGTCGGACATATACTAAGGTAGGACTTAAAAACTTCGCACTTACAAACCTCGGACTTACAAACCTAAGACTTACAAATGATGAACTTAAAAACGATGAACTTAAAAATGTCAGACTTACAAACGTCGGACCTACAAACTTTGGACTTACATATATGTCGGAATTATTAACGTTGGATTATACAAACGGATATACAAATGTCGGAAGTATTAACGTCAAACGAGTAAAAAATGTACAAACGTTGAATTAGTAAAAAGATAATCGAAACGCAAAGGCTTACCATTTTTCGTTTATTTCAACCAACTTCGGTTGGTTAACGGAACTGCAGTGCCAAGCTCTACAGAGAACCTAATGGAGGACGAGGTTGAGATAAGAAGGTTTGTGAACATGCTCTAATCTACATTTTCGATCTTTTGAAAATTCCAATAGAGCTGGGCTTTGTACAGTATGTTTGGTTCCGTGAAATTATTGTTAGAACTTTACGATAAAATGTAACATTTTCCAGTTAAATTTTGACAAACTGGAACTTTTTCCAAAAACACAGAAAAGTGGGTAAAGTTGTATGTTTTCAAAAATCGCCGCACACAAATGGTTTTTTACACGCAAATTCTGCATTATACTTTTAATTTTTTAGCATGTGCATTTGGAAATATCTTAGCAATCTGAAAAGCAAAAAACATTGTAGTTTGTCTTGCTTAAAGGGACAGTAAGTGTAATTTCAAGCTACCCTTCATGCAAAGATGACAAATGCCCTATTCACCTTAAAAGCTTTGTCTGATCAAAAATGAATAAGATATTCATGTTTTTGTTTCTTTAAACAGTTTATTAAGATGTTAAGTATTTTCCCAAAGGATTTTTCCCAAGTGGCAACTTCCAAAGGGTATTTTCCAAAGTGGCAACTTCCCAACCGTGCAATTTCCCCAGCGGCAACTTCCCAAATCTGTCCTAGCCGCAGCGCTCGGCCCACAGCATGTTTTAGTTGCGGCGCTCGGTCCCCTAGCCCATCCTAACCGCAGCGTTTGGACCCCATTGCAGTCTGCGGCGCCTCAGAAGGCCTAACCTAACCTTTGGGAAGTTGGCGCTTGGGAAATTGTCACTTGGGAAGTCACCCATGGGAAAATGCCTTTGGGAAAGTACCTACACCGTTTATTTTATTCGTGATATCTCAGTAACAGGGACATTTCTTGCTTCTAAGAAATATTCGAGAAATTATCAGATTTTCGATTCAGATTAAGGAATTAATCGGTACTCTCGGAAATTTGTACAGAGGGTCACTTGAGATTAGCTTACAGTCCCTTAAATTATTCATTTTTTCAAAAGTTTACTTTGCGACTAAAACAGAAGGAGTTACAATAAAAATGTCGAATAAAAATTAGTTAATTCACCTTTTAAGTTGGTTTCCTTTGGCATTTGAATATTTTTTAATAATGTTAATTGTTCATGAAAAAATATAGATTTCATGATAAGTACATACAAATTTTCGGATAGGTTTCAAAATATCTGTGATAATTTTCTCTGGGGCTGATCGATTTTATGAAAAATCCAACATTATGATCTGAGCCGGAAACTTTTGTGCAGGACACCTATAATCCCGTACGTTTGATCACGATTTACGCTATTGAAACTTTTAACTTAAGAATTAATAAAAAGCTATATCATTCCAAATTTTAATTGTATAGTTATTCTTCTCCTAATTAAAGCTCTCATCAACCCCTGACTGGGTACGATTAACCTGCGTGATATTTAATAAAGATTAAGTTAATCTGCAGATTAACAAAGATCGAGATCAACAATTAAGAGTTCACAGCTCTGAATATTGAGTCAAATTAAGAACTTGAATGGTTTTCATCCGACTCTGCCAAGAGAAAGAGTTCTAAACGTTTCTTATTTCATCATATTTGGCTCCTAGATTTAGCTCAGCCGGGTAAAAACCAATACACAGGGTTACCCGCAAATAATTAGGCTATAAAGACGACCTAAATCTCTTCAAATAAGATGATTCCAAGATGAAATTAAGTCTTTTGCTTTAGATAAGTGGTTTAATGGCTTATATGCTATTTTAACAAAGAACAAAACAAGTTATACACTTGCAGGACGCAATGGATGTAAGAAAACTGGTATTTTGCATTTCATACGTCGTCTCTGAAGTCTCATCCTTTGTGGGTAACCCTGTACAGAGCAGCGCTCTCCCCCATCAAAGTTATACTCCTCGTACAGTGTGACTCAAAGAAACAGTAGTAAGTTGTGAACGTTGCTCCAAATAAATGTTTGTATTCCCTATGTTCCTTGCAAGTTGCAAACTCCATAGATATTTATTTAATTTATCTATGGCAAACTCCCATCATGTAAACCTTTGAAATGTCAATATTAGGCTATTGCATCTGTCAGTATATTAGTACAGTTCTACGCATAGATAAAGATAGATTGCGCATAAGACGACATTTTTCATCTTGAAAGATATAAATGTACAGAGATGTTTTAAAGTATTTCCTATTATATAGATTAACTAGGTCGGTTGTGAACATTGGCTGTTCTTATGTCATTGAGTACATGTGGTGTACATGAGTTCTGTAAAAAGAAATTTAAGTTAGTTTAGTCCTTCTCATGTCCTTCTTCAGTTCTCGTCAAAATGATATATTGCTTAGTGAAATGATTTGATTTTCTCAAAATAAAATTCACTCCTCAGTGGTTTAATAATTATGAAATCCATTAAAAGACCAAACCACCCCGCTTATCATTGAATTACACTTTGACCCCTAGAAGTATGAGTTCGCGGACTGTACAATTCTTGGTGATTTTGCGTACATAAGCTTATCTATGTTTATTTATTTATCTATGGTTCTACGCAATTCATGTAGTTAACTTAGGTTCAGTTCAAGAACCAGACCTGAAAACTTTAGAATCGTGGATATCGAGATCAATGATTGATCCTCTCTTTCTGCTAATCTCCAGACTATTATAGTCTTTAGATTAATTTCTACAGATAGGGAATGCACTCTTTAACTTTTGAAAAACCGGTTTTTAATATTCCCGCATTTGTGTCGTCATATCAATTGAACTAATGATATCGATTAAACGAAGATAAGTTTTAGATTAATGTTTATTAAGACTATACGTTCAAAATGACTATAGTCCTCAAATGTGTAAAATATGTTTTTTAATAAGTCCAAGTTAACATAATTAAATTTTTTTAATGCTCTAAAAGTCGGTTTGTGAACAGCTGACTTTAGTTCAATCGAATATTAGTCCAATCGATATAGCATTGGATCTGTAATTGTTATCAAACGTAATTTTTACACTATAGGGGTATCCAGAAGAGAAGATTAAGAATAAAATTAAAAAGTGTGTTTATTGGATTCTCAGATTAAGCGATCGGGATTAATTCTAAAGTTTTCAGCTCAGGCCAACTTTTAACCAGCTATAGAGCAAGCTGTACTTTAAAGAGACCCTCCAAGAAGGGACATACGGATTCACAATGGTAATTTTGAAACCTTTATCTGATCAATATTGTGGAAGATATCGTCATTTTTGTAACTTGTAAATTATAATAATTTCTCAATTGTTTCTAAAGCAGAAATGCGAAAGTCACTTTGTTGAGCAAACCACAAATGAAAATGTTCAGTTTTATAAACAAAAACATGAATATCTAATTCATCCTTAATCAGACAAAGTTTTTAAGGGTACATATTGTCAATTGGTTTCTCCAGTCTGTCAATGGAGTTTCTCTTGAAACTACATATTACGTTCATTTAACGAGTTACAGAAGTTCGTAGTAAGATTTTGACTCCACTGGAGACCACCGGAGGGAATTCATTTTCACTGGAGGGGTTTGAACAAATGCTGTTTACAATTTAAAACTTTATGTAGAGTGATTTATATTCCACTGGAGGGATTCAGATATCCTTTCTATGGGTTTATAATTCCACTGGAGGGATTCAGATATCTTTCCAGGGGGTGTATAAATCCACTGGAGGGATTCAGATATCCATCCTATGGGTTCATAATTCCACTGGAGGGATTCAGAAATCTTTCCAGGGGGTTTATAATTCCACTGGAGGGATTTAGATATCTTTCCAGGGGGTTTATAATTCCACTGGAGGGATTCAGATATCTTTCCAGAGGGTTTATAAATCCACTGGAGGAATTCAGATATCTTTCCAGGAAGTTTAAAAAGATATCTGAATCCCTCCAGTGTAAATTACCCTGCTTTAAGTTTTAAATTGTAAAAAGCTTTTCTTTCAAACCCCTCCAGTGAAAATAAAATCCCTCCGGTGGTCTCCAGTGGAGTCAAAATCTTACTTCGAACTTCTTTGAGTCTTATTTAACAGGAACTTTTTAAACATAATAAATGTTTTCAGGAAAAATCGTCTGAGTAGATTGTCTGAGAAGGAAATCAACAAATACAAGGATGTTTTTCAGGTTGGATTTATTATTTACTTAACCCTATTCCTGCTGGGGGGGGTCAATTTGACCCCCCCTGTAGTTTTTTTTACATAACTCAAAAAGTATTGGTCTGAGGCTGTTGAAATTTTCTGACTTTTCCTGCATAACCAAAGCCCTCCCTTTATGCCTAAAACCGGGCTTTAATACTAACTGCCTGAGTCCTCAGGCACACTGCCTGAATGACTGCTTTTTCCTGTAACAAACTAAATCTTTGTTTTGACCCACTTTCACTTGTCAGATTTTGATAAAATTTAGCTTTTTGGAAAACCTTTGACATAAGGAAACGAATTGCACAAGTTTTGCGAAAAAAAAATTGCAAATTTTTTGCAAACAACCTGTCAAAGGAAATTTGCACATTTTTAGTTTTTTTGATTAAAAATCAGGTTATTTAAAATTTTGAAAAATTTTTTGCATATTTAAAATGGCATGGTCAAGGGCTTTTCAAAAATGTATAATTTATCACTTTTTAGACAAATTTTTTTTTGCAAACATTTTCACTATATAACTAGATTTTGCGATAAAAAATTCAATTTTTGCAAATTTGCAAAAATTTTTGAAGATTCTAAAAGTAGAGCACAAGAGCTTTCCAATGATGTATCATTTGTCATATTTGGACATCAAACATGGGATTTAGAGGGGGGGGTAAAATTGACCCCCCCCCCCCAGCATATCCTGGTTTTCAAGTACCCCAGCAGAGATAGGGTTAATATCCTCCATGCTTAGAATTTACAACGGTAACCATAAGGCTTTGTCTGATGAATTCAATATCCATGTTTTTGATTCTTTTAACTGCTCATTTTAGTTTGCGGTTTCTTTGCAAAAGTGACTTGCACATTTCAGAAGAAACTATCAGAATTAAACACTTTTCGAGACAGAAACACGACGGTATCTAGCACATTTTTGATCAGATTAAGGTTTCGAGGATATCGTAAATCACGCATCAAGCCATCTTTGCATGGAGGGTCATAAATTACGCTTAATTGCAGTCCCTTTAATTAACTTTAATACCATGAGCAAATAAGCTGAAATATTTTTGTGTTTTATTCTTTTGATTTTCTTTTTTCTTCTTGCAGGGGAAAACTAAAGGAGAAATTAAATCAATTTAAATCAAAAACTAAAAAACTATGTTCAGTCTACTGAGGGAGAGGAGGCATTTAACATACAAAAAACTCAAGTTGTCTGCCTTTCTTGAGCATTTAAAATTATGTATATGTAAAGTCGTCTGATTAAATGTCAAATAATTCCAGGTCTTTCTGATTATGGCTGTCCAGAGGGAGGGGGGGCATTTAATATATTTAAACTTAAGTTTTGAATAATTAAGTTTTCTATTTAGTTGTTTGACAAAAATAAAACTGGACGAATAAGCTTGGCTGAGCTAGGCGAGGTTTTAGGCAGTGTAGGTCAACTCATTGCTTCAGATGTAAGTTTTAATAGTTTTATTATTTCAAAGTTTTTTAACACTTAACCACCCCCCACGGTCCACCTAGGCCTACCCCCACCACCCTTATTATTAATTGTAATTTCTTTTTAATTTTTCTCTGTACTTTATCTGCAATTTATTTGTAATTTCTTTGTAATTTCTTTGTAACTTCTTTTTAATTTCTTAGTAATTTCTCTGTAATTTCTTTGTAATTTCTCTGTAATTTTTTGTAATTCTTTATAATTTTTATTTAATTTCTGTTTAATTTTTCTATAATTTCTCTGTAATTTCTTTGTAATTTCTCTGTAATTTCTCTGTAATTCTTTATAATTTTTATTTAATTTCTGTTTAATTTTTCTATAATTTCTCTGTAATTTCTTTGTAATTTCTCTGCAATTTCTCTGTAATTTCTCTGTAATTTCTCTGTAATTTCTCTTTAATTTCTCTGTCCCA